TTCCCAAGATTTGCCCTTTTTCTCCACGTTCAGCTGTACCTTGCAACCACTTACCAGCCTCCTGCTGTGGGCCAGCCCCCGTGAGGCACTACCAGGAGTGCAGAGATGGGCAAGTGGGAGTGGGAAGGTGGTGCTGGCATACACGTTCTATTCATCTGCTATATCATAGGCAGCTGAGGTTTGGGTCAAGAAATGAAGAGGGACTTGATGGGGGACGGGCATTAGAGTTGAGCTGGGCGAGGTGGCCCCAAGCACCAGAGGCACCCAGGCAGAGGGGATAGAGTGAGTTCAGAGAGGGAAGTGTGGGGTATCCATTTTTTCTGAGGGTTATCAGATTATTACTACTGAGCATGTGGTATGTGTAGGTATATCATCTCATTTGGTCCTTATAACGGACTGGCAAACTTTCTGTGAAGAGCTAGATAGTCAGTACTTGAGGTTTTGTAGGCAACAGGTCTCGGTCACAACTGCTTGGCTTTGCTTTGTAGTGTGAACCAGAGACCACAAATGGATGAGGCTGTGTCCCGATAGAACTTTGTTCACATAAATAGGTGGTCAGCTAGTACTGGCCCTGGTGCAGTTTGCCAGCTCTTGCCTTATGTTTGCTATAATCCCTGTTTTATGGAGGATAAAACTGAAGAACAGAAAGATTAGTAGAAACTAACATGGCCAAAGACCAGCTTGACTAGGTCAGATTCCAAAGTCTCCATTCTTCCACACACGCTGCCTCCACTTCACAGATTGGAGGACATTCTAGGGTAGGACAGATAGATGATAAGCCTGCCTTGACTCAAGTGTGAAGAGTTTGCCTTTAATTCAGTGAGAAGTGGGGAGCCATTGATTTTTTGAATGGGCAATTATATTAGAGCCATGCCCTAGGAAAGTTTGTTTGGCATTGGCGTGTAGGTAAATTAAAATTGAGAGAAGAGCTCTTGTTTCCAAATGAGAAGTTCACTTTGGCAGAGCCGTTTCCAACCACTCTATCCTGTAGAAGTTCTCGTGAGTGTACCTGATACTAGCGTGGCCTCACCGTGGCTCTGCAATCGCAGTGTGTGTGTATGTGCACTTGTTGAAATAAGTTTAACCTTGTCTTCTTGCTGGTTGTGCAAACTCAAAGAAGACTAGTTTTAGCGACAGTGCATCTATTTTAAAGAACCTTCATCATCTAAGAAGGGACGAGCTGAGGTACCAGCATCTCATCCCACTCAGCTGTGCTTTCGTTGATGTTCACATCTCATTCAGCTGATGTTTTAGGTGCACGTGGATTTTTAAAACTTTATAGTCCCTCCCACGGGGCTAGGGAAATCCCTCCAGGGTTTGAGAGAGCAGTGCGGTGCATCCGCTCCTAGATAGGGAAGGAAGTCTTGCTCTATATACCAGCCTGGATGGTTTCTGGCCTGCTGTTCTTTTATGCTCTACCATGCTTTGTGATTCCAGGTAGGGGATATTCCAGACTCTTGAAATTTGGCTGTGAGAAGGGGAAGAAATCCTTGAGTATTTTGTGTCCTGGAGGTTCAGGGTGAAGGCTGTGACTGACTTTGTTTATGGCCCATTTCATGAAGCTGTTAAAATTTTTTTATTATTAACTTTTATTTACTGAACACTTAGCATGTGCCAGATTCTGCGACTTTTTTATGTATGAGCTCATTTTATCTTCATAATACTGATGATGTAGGTATATTATCTTGCAAATGATGACACTCAAGCCAGAGGGCACGGAGGTAATTGACAGCATAGCAGCTAAGATTAAAGCAACTCTGTCAGTTCCAGAGCACCCCTCTTTATTGCCCTGTTCCCCATTACCTTCATTTCATGAGCCCCAGTGTGGATCAGGCCAGGCACTTTTATACAGTGCCACTCTGAGTCTTCATTTCCACCTTCTGAAGCAGCCCGTATTGTACCCATTTATAGGTGAGTAAACTGAAGCCCAGAAAAGTAGAGCCACTTATCCAAAAGCATTCGGTTAGCAAGGGAAAGATCTAACCAAATGGTTAGATCTTTTGGGTTTTGATTGCTTTTCAAATAAATTCTGGGACCGAGCGCAGTGGCTCATGCCTGTAATCCCAGCAATTTGGGAGGCCGAGGTGAGCAGATCACGAGGTCAGGAGTTAAAGACCAGCCTGGCCAACATGGTGAAACTACATCTCTATTAAAAATATAAAAATCGGCCGGGCGCGATGGCTCAAGCCTGTAATCCCAGCATTTGGGAGGCTGAGGCGGGTGGATCACGAGGTCAAGAGATCAAGACCATCTTGGTCAACATGGTGAAACCCCGTCTCTACTAAAAATAAAAAAAATTAGCTGGGCATGGTGGCGCGTGCCTGTAATCCCAGCTACTCGGGAGGCTGAGGCAGGAGAATTGCCTGAACCCAGGAGGCGGAGGTTGCGGTGAGCCGAGATTGCGCCATTGCACTCCAACCTGGGTAGCAAGAGTGAAACACCGTCTCAAAAAAAATATATATATATAAATTAGCCAGGCGTGGTGGCGTGCACCTGTAATCCCAGCTACTCGGGAGACTGAGGCAGGAGAATTACTTGAACCCGGGAGGCAGAAGTTGCAGCGAGCCATGATCACATCACTGCATTCCAGTCTGGGCGACAGAGCAAAACTCTGTCTTGGAAAAAAAATAAATAAAAATAAAATAAATTCTTTCACTGAGAACGTAATAGAAGCACTAACCTAGAGTCAGTAGGAGGATGCCGTGGAAGGGATGAATGGCTCGATTAACGTTCATATTTGTATTCAGCGAGGCACTGTAGAATGTCAACGGGATTGTAAAATATGTTAGCCTGGGCTCAAATCCTGACTCTGCCACTTACTTGTGACCTTGGACAGGTTACTTTACCTTTCTGCTCTTCAGTTTTCTCCTCTAAAAAGTGGACACAGTAATAACCTCTGCCGCATAGAATGAGGACCGAATGAGTTAACCTGTGTAAAATGTTTATGCCAGTGCCTGGCATATACTAGCTACTGTATGTTAGTTGGATTTATGAAGCTCCTTCTCTGCATAAGGGATTCTTTCAAATGTGTTGTAGTGCTCAGTCCTCATAATTGACAAGTAGATGGTGTTGATCCCATTTTACAGATAAGAAAACAGCCTCAGAGGGGTTAAGTAGCTCACATGAGGTCATCCATCCCTTCACCCACAGAAATATATTGAGAAATTCTAACATGCTTGTGCTCTTGTAGGTGTGCGGCATAAGTTATTAAAATAGACCCAAATCCCTACTCTTTTGGGGACTGCAGAACTGGGGCCTGAACCCATGTCTGCCTCTTTTCCTTTTGATATTTTCCTTCCTCTCTCCTTCTTAATAATTTCCTTTAATGAACTTTTAAATTTAAAATTGGCCATTGCCATTACAAAGGTTATGGGTTACCTCCTGAGCTTACTTTGTGCTTATAAAATTGAAAATACTCTTGCTCCACTGGATGGTTGGTCTCTGACAACTGGAGAGCCACAGGGAAGGAGACTAGCATGGAGTTAAGGATTGGATCCTTGGGCTGTGTTGTGAAACAGAAGCACACTGTAGGTGTGCCTCTTCTGCTTGTGGGTCTCTGCAGTAGAAGACAGAACTTCTAGATGGGTGGGTAGTGGTCAGGTGCTATAGCTCTCATCTCTTCATGAACTAGAAGATTCAGCTTTGCTTCATCTTTTCCTGGTGTGAGGCCCTTATGGTCTCCAGGTGGAGTAGCCAGAGATGCTGCCTCCTTAGAAGGCCTCTGCTTGGCAAACCTGACTGTGGCTCCTGTTCCCATTCCAGGAGCAGTGGGGGACCATGACCATTGTGTGAGATTACACTGGGTGAGGTATTTGGAAGAACAGGGTGGAGGGTGAGGGTGAGATCATATGCTGCTCTGGGAGTCACATATATCCTTGGGGCAGGCCCACTGGTTGAGGTAGAATGATCACCTTCATCATTTTGGTGGAGACATCATGGAATTAGTACTTGACCCTATTGTTACTAACCAGTTGAGGCAGGACAGCTCTCTTTTTGACCAGTCATTTGTTCCTATCCCTCTGAAAAACAGAGGTGCTTATATCCAAAGGGCACATTCACACCCTCCTGCAAACTCACAAATTCATGCATGGAACTTGGCACTCAAAATCAGGGGGGAGGTTTTTTTGTTTTGTTTTTGGCTTTGATGGTTTGGGAGAAAATTTTCAGGCAAGAATTTGTCTTATGCTTGTTGGCCTGTTTGGAAAGCAGATATTCTTCTGTCCTGACCGTTCTGAGACCAGGAAGAACAGGTCTGATATGTTCCCCAAGGGGGTCTGTTCTCTTGATTCCATAGGTCAACCAGTCTTTGCCTTCTAAAATGCTGTACACAACAGTGTTGTGTTTAAATATGTTAGAATTTGCTGGGTTTTGTTCACAGAATCCCAACAGTGAAAATGATGCCTAGCTTTTAAATTAAACCGATTAAATTTGAGATTATTGTGAGGCCGTAAATAACTTCACTCACACAAGAGTAATTGAAGGGGCTCTGTTTTCGTACTTGGCTTCTTTTCAAGGGACCCAGGTTCCTGAGAACGCAGAATAGCTCAATAGCCCTCCTTACCCTGAAATGGCCCATTAAGAGATGCCTGTTGGGTGGTAACCTCCCCATACGTTTTCTCAATAAAGAGAAAAAGATGGGAAGGGGTGGGGGAGACTTCACTTGCATCTAGAGTTGCAGCCTCTCAAAGCTGCAGCCTCTCAAAGCCGCCTGGAGCAGACTGTTTAGTTCCGTGTCCCCTGTCCCATTCAGGCCTCTGCATGTTTTGAAGCTTTCTTTAGTTTTTCCCTGAATCTTGATGGCAGTTCTCTCAATAGGCTTAGGCCCAGCTATGGCTAGCTGAATGCATGATCAGCACAATGCACTGAATTTTAATGGTGCTGGCTGGCTCTGAAAGCTTGCCAGTGGGACAGTGGCCACTGTGCCGGCCCGAGCAGCTGCCTCAGACTCAGAGAGGGGATCCGACTGGCTTCCTAAAGTTGCCTGTTTGCTTTTTTTGCAGATCTACACAGATTGGGCCAATCATTATCTAGCCAAATCTGGCCACAAGCGTCTCATCAAGGATCTCCAGCAAGATGTAACAGATGGCGTCCTCCTGGCCCAGATTATCCAGGTTGTGGGTAAGAGTGGATTTTACCTTGGGGGTTATGAGTTACAGTGGAGCCATCCCAAAGGGCCAGGGTAAGGGGAAGAGAACACTAAAGTCTCTCAGAAGGCAGCTTTCTGTCTCATTTGCTGACAATTTATTTGATTCATGCATTGACTCAGGTTGTATGGGTACCAGCTTGCTTTTATGCTTTTCCTGTTAAGGTCACACATACAGAAATATCATCTTAATTCTCTGAGAAGAAAGGCTGGCCAAGGCCAGAGGGAAATGCTGGTGGTTTGGGGAAGGGTTGCTCTGCCCCACTTCTTGCCTTGCATTCTCTTTCTGGTTTCTGGCTCTCTCATTTCCCCCTTTGGATGGTACTTGTTTTGTGGAGTACTCTGGAAATATTTCCAAAAAAAGTAACATGGGGCTGGTTTAATCCTGCCAACTCTACTTGGGTATGACACATCAAAGGCTATCACTCCAGAGGGGTTGGATGGTCCTGGTTTTAATACTAGGGGAAGGGGACTAGGGGAAGGGGAAGGGAACTTGAGCAGTGGAATTTTTCATGCCTTGGCCATGTGCTGGGAGGAGAGGTTTCCTCCAGTGGAGGCACGTGGGTGGATACTGGGCATGATTTTGCCTTGCGCCTTAAGACAACCACCCCGTGGGCCTGTGTGAGATCCCAGAGCAGACTGAGGAGGCAGGAGGTCAATTGGATAGCATTAGCCTGATTGTTGTAGCCTTGGCCAAGGGAGAAGGTACAAGGAGAGGACAGAGGGCCCAGCCTCTCTGGTGTGTTGTGGAATTGCTTACCCTTCAAGTTATGAGAAGTTGTCTTTCATGGTTAGAGCTCTGCTCAAATCTGTGGAGACTATACCTGAAAATACAGAAGGTTGGCCTTAGCTAAAACTTTTGGACTATTGCTGCCATTCAAAGAGAAAGAAGTTTGTTTTCCCTGCTGTCTTAAGGTTGATTTCTTAAGACTAGCTGCCATTGGTTCTCCTCCTTTTTCTCCTTTTTCTTCCTCTCCCTGTATTAGTTTTCTGTTGCCATATAACAAATTGTCATAGACTTACACTCAAAACAAGAAGTATTTATTATCTCACAGTTTCTGTGCATTAGAAGTCAGGGCATAGCTTAGCTGGGTACCTCTGCAAGGCATCAGTCAAGCTGTTGCCCAGGGTTTTATTCTCATCTGGAGGCTTGACTGGGGAGGGGTTTGCTTCTATGTTCACTCAGTTTGTTGGCAGAACTAATTTTCTTGCAGTTATAAGACTGTGGGCCTTGGCTTCTTGGTGGCTGTCAGCTGGAGGCCACCATTACCTCCTAGAAGCTGCTCTCAGTTCCTTGCCACGTGGGCCTCCCAATATCTGCCTGTTTCCTCAATGCCAGCAAGGGAGAAAGCTTCTGGAACAAGTCTGCTAACATGGTAGAATCTTATCTAAATATCATAATCGTGGGAATGGCATCTTATCAGCTTTGCCATGGTCAGTTGGTTAGAAGCAAGTCACAGGTCACTACACTCAAAGGGGATGGAATGATACAAGGGCATGAATACCAAAGTACTGGCATCATTGCGGGTCACTGTAAAGTCTGTCTGCCACATTCCTCTTTTTCCAGTTCTTCCTCTTCCCCCTACTTTTCACCATAATTGTCCCAAGCTCTTTAAAAATGTCTCCCATTTTCTCAAAACCCTTTCAAAGTAAATGGTATTCTCTCCATTTTACAGATGCAGAAATTGAGGCCCAGTGAGTCTGCTTGTAAAGCTTCTGTTCTGTGCTTTGCTCTATTATATTACTTTTTACTCCAGAGATGCTGGACTTAGTGCAGGGCTTTGTCCTCCTTCACTTTAGTAACCACCTTTTGAGCACCTACTGTGTTCCAACACTGTACTCCTTGCTAGGAATAAAGAACAAATGTGGAAGGCTGAGAACCTTGGAAGAAGGGGTACCATTTTTTTTTTGGTAGGGTCTTTATGGAAATGCAACTTGCACCTGAGCTGGGCTTTGAAGCCCACATCAGCAGACTCACATTATGCATGTGGGCCTACTTTGACTGAGTTTTGCAGCTGTGCAGTGTTTCTACCTGAAACCTTCCCAGGTTTTAGCACAGGCAGCAAGTGAGGGAGTATAAAAAGGATCATATTGAGAGACCTTGCCTTCATCTCAGCTCCATCCCTCCTGACTCTGGGGTCACCTCTGCTGCCTGTTTCTCCATCTTTAAAATGAGGATAGCCATGCTTGTTTTGTCTGATCTTATAGGAGTCTTATGAAATTCAGGTTAGATATCAAATATGACATATGTTTGAAATCTATGACATGTTCCTGGATAGCACTTGGCTACCTAGAAATGTATGTATAGAAGGATGATGAGGTATAAGTATCTGTGTCAGCATGTTGTGATAGATTAGTCATGTCTGTCTCAGGTTCAGAAGAGGCAAATGGGAGCATGTATGTTGTGCATTTCCTAAACATAGTGCTATGAAAATGTAAGTCAGCAGTTTTATCATTGCTCAGGAGCATGCTTCCCTGAATCTATTCAGATGAGATGAACTTTCCTAGACAGTGGCATCTTTAGGCCTGGGTACTGATCAGTTCCAGAGACTCAAGTTAGCACCAGTAGTCCAGGCCACACCCGAGGACACTAAATTACTTCCCTAAACCCTCCAGCACAGGATCACTCTGTCCAGAGACTCCCCATCTAAGGCCAGATATCAGCATGGGACTCGCACAAAACTGGCTGTGCTGGGGCTTGGAAACTCTGCTCTGTATGTAGAGAACAGACTAAAAGGAGGAGTGAGAAGGCAGCAATCATAGGCATCTCCTGTGTGACTTCTTTCCTCAGTTGTCTATTGGCCAGCTCAGAGCATTTACTCTTAGGTTGTCTTATGAACACAGGTCTCTTGGTGAGAGGGAGAGAAGCATCTTCTGACTAGGATGCTGAACTACTAGCCATTTGAACACTTGCTTTTTAAGTCCATGATTTCCCCCATACATGCCCCTTAAAAGAAAATGTAAAAGGATACAATGGTATGTGTACTCATATTTAATATACACATATATATGTATATATAGATATCCTTATCTATATATCTATAGATAAAAAAATTAAAATTTCCCAGAATTGGAATCTTGGTAACTTCATTTTGTGCTGGACAAAATTCCAGTGGCTGCACTTGTTCTTTGACTGACAAGCCCCTACTCATTCTTGAAAAGTGAGTTTCTCTTTGAGACCTTTCCTAGCTCCCCCATGCAGAGCCAGAGGGACCTCCGTCTGTCATCCCACCAGTTGCTGTCTTGGGCCTGGCTCTTAGTTGTCTTCCTTTCTGGGTCCCAACATTTAGCATGGTGCCTGGCATGCAGTGATGTTCAGGAAAAGTTGACAGGATTAGGGATAAGAATTTTATTCACTGCCAGCCTGACTTAGATTGTTTCTAAGAGGTGGCCTGAATGTTTCCCCCTCTCAACATTTAGTACTCCACTAAACATTCCTCTAAATTGTGTATCACACCTTTTTCCTTTCTGGAGATCTGCCGCAGCTCTCAACTGTCAGGTTTGGAAGGGACCTTTAAAAGTCCCCATCTGATGAATGAATTCCTTCCATAAAAAGTAGTCAACAACATCTATTATTACTTCCTCTGATAGGCAGCTTAATATTTTTTCAGGCACTAGTTCCAATGGTGGAGAGTTGGAATCCTTCAATAGCTCTTGTCTTAGATTCAGGCTGCTATAACAAAATACCAGACTGAGTGGCATATAAAAAAAAGACATTGATTTCTTATGATTCTGGAAGCTGGAAGTCAAAGATCAAGGTGCTGTCAGATTCTGTGTCTCAGAAGGGCCCACTTCCTCATTCACAGACAGCCATCTTTTCACTGTGTCCTTCCATGATGGAAGGCATGATCAAACTCTCTTGGGCCTGTTTTGTAAGGGAACTAATCCTGTTCAAGAGATCTTTGCCCTCATGACCTAATCATCTCCCAAAGGCCCCATTTCCAAATACCATTACATTGGGATTAAACCTGAATATATGAATTTTAGGAGGACGCAGACATTCAGACCATAGCAGCTCTTCTTTTATTAAGTCCTCCCCTTGGTAGTGTCTCTTCCTTGTAAGGCTACAAAGAACAATACAATCTGGGGACAATGCGAGCATCAGAATAAATTGAGCACAGCAGTGGATTATAGCCATTAAATAAAATAGGAATTCACAAGTCTGTAATAATAGATACAAGTAAAAATAGATACATCAATGGAGGAGAAGAGAGCGCTGGACTGTATGGGAGAATGCTCATAAAGGAAGAGGGAGTTGCAACCATCTGGTAAATGTGAGTTAAGGCAAGGATTATCAAGGGATGCTGAAATCTAGAGGAGGAAATTTGACAAGGAGCAGGATTTTTGCATAGTGTCAACATCTCTCTCCACTGATTGCCTATTAGCTGCAAGGGGAAACAAAGTAACCACTAAATGGAGTATCCAGATCGCATCATGACCAGGTGATCAAAGTTACATCACAGGAGAGGGACAGATGGACCTCAGGTACTTCCTGAGGTGATACCCTAGAAGAACATAACATCAGTTATGTCGTATTCCAGTCAGGGATGGAAAACCTGAAACTAATCATGAGGAATCTCAGGCAAACCTAAATTGTGGAACATTCTATCAAAAAAACCCAAAAAACAAAAAACAAAACCTTGGTTATATTGTTCAAAAACGTGAATGCTGTGAAAGACAAAGGCTGAGCAACTGTTCCAGGATGACGGAGACTAAAGAGATGTGACTACTAAAAGCACAGCACTATCCTGAACTGCATCCCATTTTTTAGGATATTTTTTAGTCAGTTGGCAAAATGGGAATGTTGGAGTTAAATCAATGTTAAATTGTCAGGATTTATGGTTGTACCATGGAAGACAATATCCTAGTTCTTTGGAAATAAACACTAAGCATAAGAAGCAAAGGGCATGATCTACATGGCTTACTCTGAAATGGCTCAGAAGAAAGATGATATGTGTGCCTTACAGAGAAAGAAGGGGAGGGGAGGAGAGGGAGAATTAAAAGGAGAATGGATGAGGTATATGGGAATTCTCTACACTATTCCTGTAACTTTTTTGTAAGTTTGAAATGAAAAGTTATTTCAAAATGAAAAGTTAAAAAGAAAACATATCTAAATGAAGGCCCATCAAAATTTGCAGGCAGCAAGATTGTGCCTTTTAAGAGACAGCCCCTTTCTAGGACCTGGAGGAGTGTAGTGATGATGGCTGTGGTGCTAAGACCCGACCCATGATGGAGTGGGGATGGTGGGAGAGTGTCAGTCATGGAAAGATTCCTCAAGGAACTTACCTGTAAGCCAAGACTTCAGACTTTTATGAAGAGTGAGATAGGCGAAGCAGTCAGGGAGGGCATTCCCGGCAGAGAAAATAGTGTCTAGAGAGGAGAGGAGAGGAGAGCCAGAGGGCCAGCAAGGCAAAGTCAGGCAGGGCCACCAGGTATAAGGCAACGAATTCTGGGCTTTAGCCTAAGAACAAAGGCCAGTGGTTGAAGAGTTGATTTTTCAGGCTGGGAAGTGACATCAGATGTGTAACTTCAAGGAAAATCTTAGAAGTTGTCTTCTTCCTAAGAAGCTTTCTTCTTCCTTTCTAAGAAGAAAACTTCTAAGTAGTCCAAAGAACTAGAATTCTTAGAATAAGAATTTTTTCTTAGAAATGGGAAGACCTGGTTTTTGTTTTGTTTTGTTTTATTTTGAGACAGACTGTCACTCTGTCACCCAGGCTGGAGTGCAGTGGCACAATCTTGGCTCACTGAGGCCTCCAAATCCCGGGTCCAAGCAATTCTCCCACCTCAGCCTTCGAAGTGGCTGGGATTCTAGGCATGCACCACCATGCCCAGCTAATTTTTGTATGTTTAATAGAGACAGGGTTTTGCCATATTGGCTAGGCTGGTCTAGAATTCCTGGCCACAAGTGATCTGCCCACCTTGGCCTCCTGAAGGGCTGGGATTACAGGTGCAAGCCACATGCCCAGCCTTAAATGCTTTTTATATGTGCTGTTCCTAAGTCTTCGTCTATCCTAGACACCCCTGGAGCTGGGCTTCCTAGATAGTGGGATTGTTTAGGACTTTTCCGTCATCATCTTCTATGAGGCAAAAAGTGGGCCTTTTGCTGCTGCCTTATAGGAGCCTTCCTTTGGTGGCTAAGGTTGGATCTGTGTGTTCAGCCTCTTGTTAGTGTGATTATCTTCTTGAGTCACGAGCTTCCCCAAGTCGGCAGTTGCCTGCCAGCCCATCACAGTGCCATCTCTGTGAATTATTAGGAAGGTTTATGAGGCCAGGATAAACAGCATGTATCAAGAGAGAGACAGGCCTCCCTCCTTTGCTTACGTAGCTGTCACGCAGGGTGGATGCCAGAAGAGGTTGGAGCAAGGGGAGCAGGGAGGGAGAGAGAAGGGGTAGGAGAAAAGGGGATAAGAGTTGAGAGAGGAAGGAAAAGATGAACAAATGAGGACTGGAGAAAAAGGGAGCAAAGGGAGAAAGAGAGAATTTCCTCTTAGAAAGGGGAAGACCTGATAGCAGCTTATTTTCCACCACCGTTTGGGCTGCCTCTGAACACAACTAGGAAATTCATACAACATGTAGGACTACTCCTTTCTGTTGATGATCTACTACCATTGTGGGACCCTGGGTAAGTCATTTACCTTTCTGGAGAGCCAGTTTTTGCCTCTTCCCATTGGCAGGATTGTTAACTGCCAGGGATGGCAAGTGCCTAGATGCACAAGCTATATTAAAATGCTCTGAATCCTTTGATGGAGGTCTTTTGAAAAGTAATAAGCTCGATGCCTCTGTTCTTACTTTGAAAGTGCACCAGTGCCTTCCAGTCACTAACTTGTCACCTTGCATGTAGACAGGTTACTGCATTAGTGGGGCTAAGAAAGTCTTGAATATGCTGGGATAAATAAATTGCCATTGGCACTTAAGGATGCCAGTTTTAATCACAGATGAGGACTCTGGGGATAAGTGCCTTTGTTTCTTTGATTATTTGCTTTTGGGATGCAGCCGAAGACCCCCTGCCCTGAGTTAATAAATTCAGCTTTGAAGACCAAGCTCTTCCTTCTTACCAGCAGAGTCAGAGCTGCTATTAGCACTCTAATTATTTATGACAACCATAGGAATTCCTGGGAATTTAAGTAAAGAAGTATTTAAAGTATATGAAACTGGAAACTAGGAGACCCAAAACTCATTTTGTGTTTTTATTATTTTGAGTTTGGATTAGTCATTTGATTCATCTCTTCCCATGTACTCTTTAGAGTGGTTATAATTAGGCTGTACCCCATCAGTTTATTTTGACTGTTGTACAATGGAAGTATTAGGCTTGTAAGAGCCGTGATATTTAAATTCAAAGAGCACCTGACTGGATTTAGGTGATGGACCGTGAAAAGAAAATAGACGAGTAATTACCAAGCCCTTTGGTTTCATTATTTAGGTCGCATATAAAGAATCTTTAAAATGTCCCAAATGACTTCTTGGGATCGCAGTTATCCATCCTTCACCGTAATGAGCACTAATGACCTAATGTTGAACTGGGTATTGATCAGAATCCAGTGACTTATGACTTTGGCCATCGTGAGTATCTAGTCGGAAGACACCTTGATTGGCCTTGATTCTCAAAAGCCACATATTTATTCTCTCCAATGTTGAGTGTCAAAATCCAAGGTCAGAGCTCATGCCTGCCATAATTTCCCATGTATGAAAGAGTGCCATTTGTCAAGTGTTTGTGTTTTTTGGGCTTTAGTTTGTACATCTGTATTACAAGTGGAAGGATAGCTGCTTGAAAATAGGCAGCTATTCTTGATTCATCTCAATGTTCAAGAATCAAGGTTTCTTGATTCATTGAGATATTCAGAAGTGGAATATATTCCATTAAGTGGAATACTTAGTTCCACTCAACAAGTATTTATTGAGTGACTCCTGTGTACCAGGCACTGTGCTAAGCTCTGGGGTGACAGCAGTAAACAAAGCAGATAAGAATCTCTGTTCTTGTGTTTACATGCTAGTAATATATTCTGGCTCATTATATGTTCTAATAAACAGAAGAACAAACATCTATGAGTTATTCCATTCGGTGGGCATCTTGTTTGTGCTTTTCATGGTACCTCTTTTGGGAGCAAGGCTTTCTACATGCCCATCCTAGTGTTCTTACATTAAGAGGAGTTGAGAAAATGCAGTTAGATCTCTGAAGATTGGGATTTTCCCAGGTGGTTCATAAGCCTTAACATCTATTACTTCTGGCAAGTTCCAAAAAAAACAAAGTGTAGATTAGACTGAATATATACTAGCCAGTCTGTCTTTTGGTGATTAGATTTCAAACAATTTTCTGCCACTAGCTTTCTTCTTAATTTTCACTTCTCTCTCAAGATAGAAACACTAGAGAAAAAATAAATTCAATTTGAGATAATGGTTCAGGTTTCTAAAATTTTGGAGGCTTGGGACACTTTGATTCTGTTATCTTTTTTAGACAATTTCAAGTGGCTTTTCTCTGCATGGAAGTTTTAGATATTGTATTGATTAAAATATATGATTTTATTTGGGGAATTCAATTTTGCAAGCAGTTATTGAGCTGTAAGGATACAGATGTGAAAGGTAAACTATGCATGTCTGCCAGGCTCTCACAGCATGGTTGGGGGAAACAAGAAAAGAAGGAAATCTGTATTGGATGATTAAGAACAAAACAGAGGCAGGTACAGGGTGCTGTGAGAACAGAGGCCTGAGTGTGTCTATCTTACCCTTCTGTGGGTAAGGAGGATTGCAGAGAGAGCTTATAAAGGCTTTGAGAAGAGGCTAACCCTTAATTCTTTACTATGGAGTCATAGCTGAATTTATAAACTCAGATGGAGATATCAAAAATAAAATTTTTATGTATTTTACATAGATAATACATTACTAGGTTAATGATACTGCCATTTCGAAAGTGCTTCCTATGTGTTGGGCACTGTGCTCAGCATTTTACTCGCATCATCTAATTTTCATTGCTTCTCCTGTGAAGCAGGTAGTATTAACTCTGTTTTATAGATGAGGAAACTGTGACCCAAAGAGGTTAGGTGACATGCCTAAGCTCACAGGCTAAGAAGCTCTGCAGCTGGGCTAAGAAGCTCTGCAGCTGGGATTCAAGCTGATGTATCTTTGCCTCCAAAGCCTGTGCTCTAACCACCATGTTTACTGCCTTTCGTGTGTTGCTGTATTCTCAAACACAATCTCTCCATAGATATCTTGGACTGTGTCGTGTCAGGAACCCCCCCACTTAAGATGACCTGCATTCACCATGGGAAGCTGGGCCAATCCTCCTTTGTATTCATACTTGATTTCCTGTGAATGCAGTGCAACCTCTTTCAATCACTTCCCTAAGTAGCTGGGTACTGTTATGACTTCACACATGTGCATTCCTTGATCTAATTTGGACTTACCATGTTGGCACTGGTCAAGCCGCATAGTGAGAAAGTGATAAAGTTTCACTTTCTTACTTTCTCCATTTGCCAGTGCTTTGGGAATAGTTATTAGGACAAACAAAAGCAATATTAGCCTGGCCAAAGATGGAGTGAGATGCTTTCATTTGTGGCTTTTGTCCCTGGGAGCTGAGTTGTAGCTGGACTGATCCACTCTGAACTATTCCATCTTTTGTGGCAGTTGTGTTTGCCTTTCCAAGAGCCTGAAGCACAATCACAGCTCACTCTCTTTCCCAGCCTCCAAGCATTTCCACAATGCCCCATCACTCCAAGACTGTCATCAATGCAGTTGTCTCTGTTTTAGATGATGACCTTGCCCCAGCTGTCCCTGGAGGATGGCAGCTTGATGAGTAAGTCCTGAAGCTTGCTAGATGTGTCTCAGCATTTCACATGCCTGCATTGACTGGACAGTCCCTGCTATGGGCCTTAGGACTTGGTTGGCCTCAAGTGTCCTGAACATCACTACTGAAAGTGTCTCTCTGGTGATTTATTTTTCTGACTTGTGTTTCCTTTTTCAGCAAATGAAAAGATTGAAGACATCAATGGCTGTCCGAAGAACAGATCACAAATGGTAAGTGGTGCATAGGTAGCGAATGTTTGAGTTCTGTCAGCAAGCCCTGCCTCTAAATGATATTGACCATCTTGAAAACATTCATACCAGATGCTTTACTCCAGGGGATTATATTAATAAACTCACAGCTATTTCCAAGTAGCTGTGCTCTGCTTTTCTGACATTTGTTGGCACTTATTGAAAAATGGCTGTGACTTTTATGTAGATTGAGACAGTGAAAATGAAATATTGTCCTTGCTCCTAGATACAAATTATGCAGAACTGGTGCAAACATATACATGTTTAAAACTTGAACTGTTATGAGTTGTTCTGCTTCCTCAAAGGCCCACATCAATATGTGTTTGTATATGGAGCTGAGGCACGGATGAGGTGATGGTATCTTACTAATCAGAAACTGGAACATGTGATCAGATTGTCTTTAAATGTTAGAATAACGTGAAATCAGAACTGTGACAGGAATGTGAAATGCACAGTCACATTTGAACCTTTTCAACATAACCTTTGCAAGTGATATTCTCTCTGGCATGATGCATTTAAGCTCTGGTATTATAGCTTTATACATAACCCCCAAAACTAATCTTTTAAAATTCTGTTGTTTTTCTTGTTGCATGTCCTGCACATAATCTTTAAATTAAAATTCATGGTCGTTGTTGAGTTCAGAAAACATTGGCTTAGTTTTTCACTTCAAAACACATTTCAAGCATGAGTATTTACAAAATATATATATGTTCTCAGAGTCTGTTAAGATGACATGAATAACCTATTTAAAACATGAAGGTGGCTCTTTTTGTTGGGCATTCATTTGCATCCAGAAATCTAAAAAAAAAATGCATAATTGACTTCTCTCACCCCATTCTACCTTCTATAAGTAGGCACAGTTTGATAGGTCTCATTTCAGAATAAACCAAAGTGGTTGGTATCCCTTGAGTTTACTGTTTAGTTTTCTGCTTAGTTATCCCAGTGACTTGGGCAGACAGGCAGCCTGTTGAGTTGGCTTTTTTTCATGCACAAAAACATTTTTATTATAAAGATATCAGCATATGTATGGAAGGGGAATCATTTTCCAGTTTACATTCTGAAGCAAGATTTTGTTGTTGTTGTTGTTCCACTGAAGGTTTTGTTTGTTTTTATTTGATCTGAAGACGAACCACTTCTTACATAGGAAAGTCCCTGGGCTGACATCTCATGGCTGCTTTGACTTTTGGAAAAGCTGGGCTGCTATTTTTGCTACAGCTACTGCAGCTGTCTAGGGTATTAATAATTGAGAAAATTTGGATGATAGAAGATTTAATTTTAGTGCAGACATGCTACACCTATAGCCATATCTTCATATGAAACAGATGTGTTATTTTTTTCCAGGATAGATACTGATGCAATTGCCCCAGTCCGTTATAATGCATGTGTAGAATTGATATGTGAAGATAGTCAACCTTTTATTCTATTTCGTGCACCTGTTGGAGGTTTTGCTTGTTGTTACAGTCTACTTTCAAGCTGATCCAGATTGAGTAGCCCTAATCTGAAATATCTGGGACCAGACATGTTTTGGATTTTGGAATCTTTGCATTATACTGACAGCATCCCAAATATAAAAATTCAAAGCATTCCACTGAGCACTTCCCTTGAGCCTCGTGTCCTGCTCTTCTAGCCTCTTAGATTTTGGAGTATTTTAGATTTTGGATTTTTTGATTTGGGATATCCAACCTGTAATACTGTCACTTCAGATTCTTCTTTGCAAATTTATTTCTATGTGCAAATAAGTTGCCTATAAATACTACTGTAGCACCAATGCAGTGTTTCAGGTTCTCCATAACTCTTTCAACCGCACCAGTGATATTTTGTTTTGCTTTGTTTTGTTTTTGTGTGTATGTGAACTGTGTTATTTTTAGAACATAAGTATATAAAATCCTATAATTGTCTGTGATAATCAGGCCCAGCTTAGGGGTGGGGAGGCAAACACAGTCTTGTGGTAAGCCTAGCAGAGAATAGTTCAGCATGCAGGATGTGAGTCCAGGAAAATGTACGAACCTCTACCACAGTCATTCCATTTGGTAGGAAATGAGTAGGATGATGATAAGGACAACAGGATCGTTGTTCTTGTCCCTACATCACAAAACAATGACAAGTTCATAAGGCAAAACTCATTAGATCACACAGGAAGTTCTTTCAATAGGCATGGGTGATTTTCTGGCTAATAGGACACCTGTGTACACATGAGCATATATAAAGTTAAAGTATTTTTGCTCATGGGAAGTATAATTTGAGAATATGGCATAGGGTGTGTGCCACCAATTCTAGATTCCTAGGTGGTTAACCTCACAATTAGACTTTATATGGGTGGCCAATGATAAACATTTGTTGTTTGCTAAATATTGTCTGTTTGGAGGATACCAAAGGAGAAGACACGTAACAAGCATGGCAGAAGGAAGATGACACACGATGAGATGAGAACTTGGGAAGTGTATTGTTTTAGGAGTGTAATGGACTCTGCCAGAAAAAAAATTAGCATAGAGTTCATGCAGTCACTCCCTAAGAAAACAGACAGAGGCTGGACGTGGTGGCTCATGCCTGTAATCCCAGCCCTTTGGGAGGCTGAGGCAGGCAGATCACGAGGTCAGGAGTTTGAGACAAGCCTGGCCAACATGGTGAAATCCCGTCTCTACTAAAAATACAAAAAAAATTAGCCAGGTGTGGTGGCATGTGCCTGTAGTCCCGGTGTGGTGGCATGTGCCTGTAGTTCCAGTTACTTGGGAGACTGAGGCAGAAGAATCGCCTGAACCCAGGAGGCAGAGGTTGCAGTGAGCTGAGATCACGCCACTGCACTCAAGCATGGGTGACAGAGTGAGACTTCATCTCAAAAAAAAAAAAAAAAAAAAGAAAAGAAAACAGATAAACAGATAGAGCACCTTTAGGGCCCTTTAATAATGGAGACAAAGGAAAGCAATTTTATTTAAGAACAGGAATGGAGTGGGAGCTATTTCAGTTTTCACGGGTTAGTTTGTATCCTGAGCTAAAGGGTGGGTTAGGAGCATGAGCTTTATAGGAGGAGCAAGCCCTGGAAGAGGGTGCCTTTTCCTCCCTCCCTTCACTCCTCCTAACCTGCTAGGCTGCCCGGCTGCTCTGTTCTCTGGTCTAACTCCTGCTGTCTTCCCAGAGATGGGGAAGTGAAAGCAGACATTTGTGGAATATGGCCTAGAGAATTCCAGGGGCAGCAGGACATAATCATAATGGACTCGGCATTGTGTACTTTTAGAGTGCCAATCAGCAAGCAGTCACAGAGTGCCTACTAATGCCAGGTGCTGGGCTAGGCCAGCTGAATACACAGGTGAACAAGGTATGATCCCTGCCCTCAAAAAACTCAGATGAGTGGGCAAGAGACGAGAGAACAATTAGAACAATAGATTATTGCAGCTGCTCCCACAGACATCTGTGCATGGCACAGTGGGATCCATTCTACCCCTAGGGCAAAGAAGGCTTCAAAATAACTTCTAAAGGGTGAGTTTTGAAAGGTCAGAGAGTTCACCACAAGAGATGATGTGTGGAAGAGGATTCCAAGTGGAGACAGCCAGGCATGGAACCCATTTCTGGAGAATGGGTTTACCTGAGGATATCATGGATCCCACAGGGGAAGGTTTTACAAACAATCATTCATTGATTGTACCAAATTGCCATGAACTGTGTCTGGTGAGGCTTTTCTAGCCTCTTGGCAGCATCAACTCCTTGTCCTGCTGTGCCTGTGGTGAAAGGAGGGACATGGAAGAGCCCAGAGTACAGAAGACTTATGGGCACAGAGGTCTTTTCAGACCTGGGACAAGCCCTCTGCGTGCTTTATCATACAGATTCCTTCCTGCATCTGGGGAAGAAACCTCAGAACGAAGATTTCTAAAGGAAAAAATCCACGGTCATCAATTCCTGTGAACAGAAGTTCAGCTATAAAATTTGGGAAATGGAACTACCACCCGGTTGGAAACTGCTGTTAATATATTTATATCAGCACTAATGACACATTCAGTGCACCTGACTGCTGTGGGCTAGTATAACACTCCTACCTTTTGGGTGAGAAACTGAGATGCTGTCCCCAGGACTCAAGCCTGATGCATTTCTATCAGCATTTGTAACCCTCAGTGCCCACCTCTTGGCACTCATAAAATATGGCACCAGGAAAAAGGCAGAGAGGCACAGCAGTGGCTTCCCTTTCCTGGAGCAAGCCCAGCCCTGGCTTGTTTTTAAGGAGCCCTTTGCCCTGTTTCAGTCTGACCCAGATGCTTTTGGGGCCAAATCCTTGGAGATAGAGCTTTAGAAACACTCCCAACCCCATTCCCTCTCCCCCACCAAATTCATCCCCTTGGCCCTTAAATAAGTTTGTGTGTGTGCGTCAGAGCTGGTTAAAATGTTTTGTCTATTTAACATTGCCATGGCAACTGAGGGCATCTCTTTGGCTTTCAAGTGGTGTGTTGAGCAGAGTTACGTGTTAGTGTAGACGGAAAAGCATTGCTTGGAGGTTAGCCAGCGGGTACTGGGGCGGCCCTGCTTCCCTACTTGAATTCACTGTACTCAAGACATTGGGGGCATTGGCTCACTTTGGAGCCTGGGAATAGCCAGCGGCAGGGGGTGGTTTTCTTTTTAAATCATTATTATTTTAAGCAGCTTGGCTCTCTGTTGTTGATTAGGAGAAGCACAAAGTTAGGGAGGCTTGCTTGCCTTTTCAGCAAAAAAGCCCCAGGGCTGCTTTCTCCTTTAGCTGATCTTGGGCCTGGGGTCAGCTGAGCCTCCCAGCGCTGAGCCCCTGCTACCTCCTGGGCTCCTCAAGGAGTCCGCCTACTTTCCTATCTCTGTGCATCTAGACTTAGGGCCAGCCTGAGCTTGAGGACCAGCCTGGCCAGGTTTCCATTCCTTTTCTACTATGCTGCAGCCTTGAGCTAATTAACTCTTTGAAGCCTCATATTTCCTGTTCTATGAAGTGGGTTGATAATAATACACACCTCATAAAGTTTTCATGAAGA